ACCTACATAGTTTTAAGTGTAATTACTTCTAAGCACGCTAACACAATCTTTCAAGGTGTAGCTACTTCTAAGCAAACATTTTGAGTTGACATCTACCTCCTTTATCACTTTAGCTTAAGATCGTGTCCAATATTTAGCACATGTTCAAGTCTTCTTCTTTGTCATTTTTTCTTTTTTTATTGAAAAATCACATTTCAAGAAATGAATTGTGAATAAGTGAGCAAAAGTATTTTTGAATCCTATTAAATGTGTGGTTAGAATTAAAATTTTGAAAAGTAACTTTTAAAGAATAAAATAAAATCCAAATAAATGTTTAGAGTTTGCACTTGATACTACTTTCACGGTTCACTAGGCCCGTCCTGAAAATTTTGAGGCCCTAGACGAAAAATTATCATGAAACTCCTACAACTAATTTTTCTACGAGCATTTTAGAATCAAACGTGGTCGAATTAAACAATTTTTCATGATAGAAAACATTAGACCTATGATACTCGCTCACCATTTGATTTTCAATTTTCATGTTCAAGAAGGAAAAATCATATTTACCCATTAAATTAAAATATTTTATGATATACTACAAAAAAAATTATATATCATATATAATACGTATTATATAAAACAACAAAAATTTTTTCTTATTATAACTAATTAGTTTTCTTGAAATTTCTAAATTCTTTAATTCCTTGAACTGCCCATTAATTAATCTTGAAATGTTCCAATAATCAAGTTAATTTATGTTATTTTTATTTAATAAAAATTATTCATTTTTCCCTTAAATGTACTTTCAGAATAAAAAATGTGAGTAGTAAAATTGAAATTAAAATTTATATTAGTACCAAGTGTAATTTGCACATTTTTTAAGGTATAGTTGTTTGAGTTATTCCCTAAGTACATGGAATAATTCACAGGATTTGTACAGGATGCTGCCGTGGCAACATACTGTGCATTTGTGTGTGTATGTGTGTATTTTTTTTCCATCTTTGAATATGTGTTATTCATTTCAAATTTTATATACTTGTAGACTGATTCTAGTTGTTTTGAGCTTTAAAAAAAATAAAATTTGAGGCTCCTTATACCTTGACAGTGGTGTTGGGCAAACACCGGGCCAGACGATTCACATTAGGAAACAATACATAAATCATACATATTAAAATCACTTTTCAAAATTAACAGACTTGTTAAATTATTTCAAAATTCGGGTGTTAATTTCAATTAAATATATATAATATATAATTAATTATCCCCACTCCACCCCACCCCACCCCACCCCACCCCACGCCACCACACCCCACCCCCACCCCCACCACACCAAAAATTTCCAGAAATTAAAATCACACCACCCCACGGATTATTAATTATCCTTATCTCACCTCCACACGGCCACCACCCACCCCACTAAAAATTTCCAAAAATTCAAATATGAAAATCACACCACCCCAAGGACCCATCCCCAATCTATAGATCCACCTACCCCACCCTTACCTTGAAAAATAAATTTTCGAAAATTAAAAATATCAAGTCACTTGTCATCCGTAACTAATTGTGACTAAATTTGTATTCAGTGTAACTACTGTCTGTGACCAAGTCAGTCTTAATTGTGGTGGTATGTGATGAATTCACAATCAGTCATAATTAACACAGAAGTAGTCACGAGTCATAATCGATCACAATTAACATAGAATTG